TTCACCTATTACATCTCCATAGAACTTCTCAACAGGATCGAGGATACGACGTATTTCATAATCTTCTTCAAGATTATTGAACAAGCACCTGCTAATAGTATTGGATTTAGATGTTGTATCTATTAATGCTTTTACTGGGATTTTTCCTTTGACAATACAATTTATAAACATTGGTAAAATAATTATATTACCACGAAAAAATAACTAATAACTTGATAAATAATTATACATTCTCAAGATCGGAAGAATATGTCTCAGATTTGGATGCACAATCCTCTAAACTAACTGAAAAAATTAAATATGGCAGACGGGTAGGCCGACTTGCTTTCCTACATTAGGTAAATATAATTCATTAAACGAAAAATTATTATGTGGCGCCACTTGATATAACTCAATAATTAACTTTACCCTTTACTTTACGTTTTAGAATGGGGCGTTTCCTTACTGCTTCAGTCTTATGCGTATGTATAACTTCTATTCCCGAACTAGATGTGGAAGAATTACCTGAATCGCTGTCCGAAGTATCCGAATCGGAAGTGCCCGAATCAGAAGTTGCAGAGATATTTGATCTGCGGGGCAGTGAATCTTTCGATTTCCCAGGAAGTATTTTGTAAAAATCATGAATATCTCTTTTATCAACGGATACTATAACCATCTCCCCTTTCCCCTCAATAAGGTTGTTAATGCGTAGAGTTGTTCTTACCCAGGCATCTTCTGCGTCGGTCACAATTTCCGGTATATAAGTCCAGAGCTCATCATCATAATATTTTCGGCCATAAAACCAATTATTACCAAGCAATATATAATTAGGTAATTGAGGGGTATATTTTTCTACAAGTACTTTGGTTGGTATGATAATGGATTTTTTATTGCCAAGTCGAACATTATTTTTTATGTTAGAGGTGAAGGTTAGTGGGATTACGGCCCATCCAATCGGGTGTGTAGTCATCTCTCTGAAGAATTTGCTATCTTTATCTTTGGAGCTTATTTGCCTAGTGATTTTCCCACTGATTTTCTTGAGAAGCTCATCACTACACATTGAAGGACCGAGAAATCCTGGCGCAAGGTGACAATTAACTTTTCGTAATCCTACTTTAGCTTTGGCTATTTTCATGGTAAATTATAATATATATACTTTATATCTTTAGCCAAAAAATAACTAATAATTAATTACCCGAAAATAAAAAAAATATTCTTTACTTTGAATATATATTGATATATATAATCCATAAAAATGCAATCTGAAATCGATACTAACAATGGAGAAGTTACACATCTCGAATTTGTAGGAGATAGAGCATCAGATCAGAATCTTTTAGAAAAATTTTTAGCGTCGGCATGTAAAGAACAGAAAACATCCTATAGTTCAAGCCTAAGAAGTCTCAAAATTACACATTATTCCAAACTCTCGGATAAAAAAATTCTTTATATTTTACGCTCATATCCAAATATAGCCAATCTAAATTTTGAACGAAGTGAAAGTTTTACTGATGCATCACTTATAGTAATTGCCCGATTATGTCCCAACTTAGAATCTCTCAATATTTGTGGTAACCAAGATATAACTGGTCACCCTATATATAAAATTGCGCAATCATGCCAAAAATTACGGCACCTTGATATTGGCTTTTGTGGGAACATCACCAATGATTTCGTATATAAAATAGTAAAAGCAAATTGTAAATTAGAACTTCTATGTATTGGTGGATTAAAACGGTATAAGCCAATTTCTGATCAGACGATATCTACAATAGCCCACTCATGTCCTAATCTTCGCCACCTTTCTTTAACAGGTTGCCATAACATCACTGACAATTCGGTTAATAAATTGTTGCAACATATTCATAATCTAGAATACCTCGAACTTGATCAATGTAGATTTATTACTAATTCATCTATCCGTGGTGTCACTAACTCTTGCCCAAATCTCGAACATCTTGACATCGGTGCCTGTGATGCTTCCGAAACATCCATCTGTAATATTGTACATTCGTGTAAAAAATTAAAGTACCTTAATATCAGGTGTTGCCGTCTTGTTACTGATAATGTTATTGATGAAATTGTACAGCATTGTTCAAACTTGGAATATCTTTCTATAGTAGGCACAAACGTTAGTAAAGATGCGTTGAGTAAACTTAGTTCAAAAATTAAGATAAAACAAGATTCAACTCTTGAAATGAAGCCAGAAGAAGAACTTAATGATCTCCGGACATCACTTGTTAATTTAGCACAGAATTTATGGTTAACCTATGCGAACCTCGAAGATATTGTACAATACTGCGAAGACAAGATTAAAGATGAACATTATCAAAAATCAATTGTGGAATTGGAACGGGATATGAGAGGTACGGCTGAAAGTCTCAGTTTGATGGTACGTATGTATGGCCTTAAAGAGAAAATTAATTATCAGCCTACAAAGCTGGAATATGACACTAATTATGCTATTACTGAGTTTGTTCCACGTGATATAAAATATAGAGGTAAAGAATCCTTATCCTCACACATGAAATTTCAAACACCACGAAGCGAATTCCACCAAAGATTGCGTGAAAATGATTTCTCTCCTTAAGAAAAGTAATTATCTTAATATAAGTTAATGGTTCGTATCGATCAAAAATAAAGTAATTAATTATCTACCCCAAAGATTTGCCATGATCGATGTAATCGTAGACCAATGGGTCGAGCAAGCCTATTTAATAAATTAATTCGTTCTGGATCAGTCAATTCTGATGATACTCTAATTGCATTAATTAAATCCGTTCTGTTTAATGTATCGGTAAAGATAACACTTCGAGTTACCCTTAATGGGTCTGGAATAAGTGGAGGTAGATCAGAAACTGAGAATTCATTATCGGAATAATCTGGATATTCGATTTTAATTTTAGGATTAAGTTTTTTCATCACTTCTTTGCTAATCCCCTCACATCTCTCCAAACTAAGATATTTCAAATTAGTACAGTTGCGAGCTATTTCCTCGACAGCTTTATTACTAATCGAGCAATCACCAAGCTCAAGATGTTTAAGTTTTGGACAAGAACGTGTTATTTCAGTGATACAACGATTAGTAAGACATATACATGAATTAAGACTCAGATGCTGTAGTTTCGGACAAAATCTCGCAATTTCTATAATAGGTATATTAGAAAAACCAACACTTCGATCAAGAATGAGAGTGCGTATATCCGGACACGATCGCAGAATTGTACTTATTAAAGCATCTGGGATTTTTAAACCTTCCAATCTGAGATATACCATCTTTGAACAATAGAGTGGCTTTATTTTTCGACACATAACTCTTTTAAAGTTTATCAATCTCCGAGTAAGAACCTGAGACATATTTAAGGCACGCTGACTCTGCTGATAATCTTCATTGATAAACTCAACGTGACGCCATAAAATAGGAGCACTGCAGTGGTACCAAAAGTGGTTAACAAACAAAGCGGGATAGAGGGATTGATCGATTTCTAAAAAATATAAGATCTGTTCTAGTAATTCCGGTAAATTAAAAATATTTAGACCTTTTGAGTCATTGCTCCGCAATAGTTGCGCCAT